CAGTGGGCGCGCGAGCTTGGGCATTTGAGGGGGGTCTTGGCCCTCCCCCGAACAGTAGGGTTCAGTCGGGCCTGTCCCTATACAGGAGGGATGTTCAAAAATAGTGTAAACATAGTCTGGGGACGATGTTTGGGAGCATGTTTTGGAGTTTGTCGAGTAACGTGCTTGTATTTCTTCATTCGTCACCCAAATTCCTGTAGGGGGACGGGCCCGACCGAACAGTAGGGGCCCGACCACGAAAAACCTTCCACAAGATATCCAACCCAGAGACCCCAGGGCGTCCATTGGCTTTTGGTGTGGGGACGTCACGCTTTCCATAGCAAAACCATCGAGACCCAAGAAACCGCAGGCCCCCTGGAGGCAAGTATCCCTATTATACTGTTTGACTGCCGTTACCTGGGACCCCACCCCGGCCGAACTCCCCGGACAGCGACCGCTACCAGAAATGTCATGAACCCGGCGCGGCCCCCTTTGGGGGAAAGTTCATTGCATGAGCGCATCGTTGGGCGCATCGCTTGGCATTGCTTGCCATTGCTTGGCATTGCTTGGCATTGCTTTGCATCGGACCCGAGGAACCCGATGAACCTCTGAGCAACGGGCAAAGTAACAATACTAGGCACCAACCTTTAAGCAAGCAGGAACCCCTTGAATAGGCAAGACGAATTGGAGAGTATTGCGTCGGATCTGGGGATGGACCTGCGTCGGTGGCGCCGACGTATCGCCGATGTATAGCGAGGCAACATCAGACCAGTAAAACGTACCCAGGCAAATGAGGCCAGTAATCCGCACCCAGGGGTGGAGTGTCGCCCATGGAGACATGTTATGTAGAGCCACTGATTATTTACCTGCGCTTTATCACGTTAGTGGATACATGTTGCAATTACAGCCGCGCGCGATATGGATACGTGGGCGCGCAGCTAGCGCCCGAGCCATGGCTGGATTCCAGGAGTGTCGATAGGCGTTGTCGCGTGACAGTATTGTAGGATGTCCGACCTCCGCCCTCAGTGAGTCCCTTCTCCTCCCTCCCTCCCTCCTCCCTCCCTCCCTCCTTCCTCCTCCTGCCTCCCTCCTCCCTGCTCCCTCCTCCTTCCTCCTCCCTCCCTCCCTCCTCCCTCCCTCCCTCCTCCCTCCCTCCCTCCTCCTTCCCCCCCCATCCCTGCTCCCTCCCTCCTCCCTCCTCCTCCCTCCCTCCTCCCTCCCTCTCTCTGTCAGTCCCTTCTCCTCCCTCCTCCCTCTCCTGTCTCCTCCCTCCCTCCCTCCTCCCCCCCCTCCTCCTTCCTCCCTCCCTGTTCACCATTCTCTCCCCCTCCCTCATTCTGTTCTCGCTGATATCCTTCTCCTCCCGTCTCTCCCTCCCTCTTCTGTTCCCTTCATTGTTCCTCCTTCAGTTCCTCGTACCACCATCGGTTCCTTCCCCGTGTCTCGCTCTTGTACTCCTCCTCTCATCGTCGTCTCTCTTTTCCGCGTTCCGCGGCAGGGCTTTCACTTCCATCCCTCCTCCCCCCTCCTTCCTGGGGGGATGGGAGCGGGCGGGGGAGCGGGAGGAAGAGAACGGAGACGGCCGACCCTAGCCGTTGTGGCCCAAGCAGGCGCGCCTGACGCGGCGAGACGGCGAAAAGCCAGTTCGGGCCATGCAGCGCCTCGGGCGTCAGGCGCCCACTGTGGTGCCCGCTCAGTGCCTGGGCGGCGCCAGCACCCTGCTGGGCTCCTTCATCCTGGCGGAGCGGTGCCAGTTGGAGGCGGAGAGCTACTGGTCGGACGGGGAGCTCAGCAACGTGCAGGCGGTCGTCAACGCCACGCACGACAGGCAGCCCTACCACTACCCACGCACGGCGAAAAGCCAGGTGGGTCAGTGGGTCGTGGTGGACGCCCGCGGCAACGAGCTCGCGAACAACCGCGTGCTCGACAGGGAGACGCCGGGGATCCTCGAGGTTCTCCGCCGCGGAGGGGACGTGCTGGTTCACTGCAACCAGTCGTTCCACAGGGGCCCCGTGACGTGCGCGGCCCTTTTCAGGCGCTGCACGGGCCACGACGCGCAGGCGGGGGGGCGTTCGGCGACAAGCCGGGAAGGGGGTCAAGCGGCGATGAGCCAGTCGGCGCGACAAGGGCGCCCTCCCCCCCCAGAGCTGGAGGGAGAGGAGGTGGATGAGGAGGAGGAGGAGGAGGAGGAGGAGGAGGAGGAGGAGGAGGAGGAGGAGGGAGGGAGGAGGGAGGACACGAGAACGGGGAGGACGAGAAGGAGGGTCGGAGTCAGCGCTCGCAGGCTTTCCTGGACTTCCTGGCGACGCGCCGCCGCATCTGGCGCGGCCACGAGAGCGGGTGCCCGGACCGCAAGAAGAGGCACGACCAGGGGCTCCTGCGGGCCCAGGCCTGGGCCAGGGCGCAGCCGCCGCCGCGGCCCCACTCAGCGGCGCCCGCGCTCAGGTCGCCGACCCGCGGCTCCACTGAGGCCGCCTCGCCGCCGCAGCCGCCGCCACAGAAGGCCGCGCCGCGGCCGCTGCGGTCAGCGCTGCGCGTATCGGCGAGAAGCCAGGCGCAGGCCCGTTCGGGCGTCCAACGTGGGAGATTTGAAAATCTCGTTGTCTTCTCTCCTCCCTCCCTTCTCCTTCCCTGCTCCGTGTTCCGTCCTCCGTCCTCCCTCCTTCGCCCTTCCCCCTCCCTCCCTCCTCCCCGCCGTTCTCCTCCCCCCCCCCCTCCCCCTCGTCCTCCCTCTACCTTCCTGGGGGGCCCGCGAAGTTCGAAGCTCGAAGTTCGAAGTTCAAAGTTCGAACTTCGAATCCCGACGTCCGAAGTCCGAAATTCGAAGTTCGAAGTCCGAAGTTCCGAGATCCGCTAGGGCATTCTGAACGTCCACATGGGCTCCGATACGGGGCCCGCGGAGTCGTTCAAAAGCGCCACGACGGAGCCGCGCACGCACCTCAACGACAACAAGTGGTTGTACAGGGTCCTTCGGCGCGGCGAAAAGCCAGTGGCGCTGCGCCAACCAAAGGACTTCGGCTGCTTCAGCCACGACGAGTTCCGCGCCCTCCTGCTTCAGTCGGTCGCCTTCGGCAACGACCCCGCGCAGCCGTCGTGCTTCCTGCACGCGACGATGCGCTTGCCGAAGGCTTGGTCCCTTCGCAACGAGCGGGCCCACTTGTACTCCAACTGGTTGGTCCGTTTCCCGATGGAGATGGACGGTGTCACGGTCGTTGACCTGACGAGCTACCGTTCGGCAGGCAAGTACCTCAACGACGCCGCAGGCGACAGCGCGTACATCCGCCAGTGCCTTCAGGTGGTGCGCGGCTACGCGGCCAAGGACCAGGAGGTCGTTCTTTTGCAGCGCCCCCCGCTCGAGCTCATCGAGTGGTGGTCCGAGGCGGAGGGCCGCTGGCGGCCCGCCACGGACCTCGTCGACGCAGGGCGCGACCCACGGGGGTTCGCCGCCCAGGAGGCCGCTCCGCCTCCTCCAGGGGCGTCTTCCAAGAGCCCTGCTCCCCGCCAAACGGCGACAAGCCAGGCGCAGGCCCGCGTGGGCATCCAATATGGCAGATCCGACAACCTCATTGACTTCCCCCTCTCCCTCCCTTCTCCTTCCCTGTTCCCTGTTCCGCCCTCCGTCCTTCTGTTCCGCTCCTCCCTCCTCCCTCACCTTCCGCTCTCTCTTCGCCTCTCTCTGTCTCCCTCGCTCCTCCCTCCTCCCTCACTCTCTCCCTCTCTCTCCTCTCCTCCTCATCTCTCTCTCTCTCTCTCTCTCTCTCTCCCTCTCCTCTCCGCTCTCCCTCTCTCTCTCTCCTCTCTCTCTCTTCTCTCTCTCTCTCTCTCTCTCTCTCTCTCTCTCTCTCTCTCTCTCTATCTCTCTCTCTCTCTCTCTCTCTCTCTCTCTCTCTCTCTCTCTCTCTCTCTCTCTCTCTCTCTCTCTCTCTCTCTCTCTCTCTCTCTCTCTCTCTCTCTCTCTCTCTCTCTCTCTCTCTCTCTCTCTATCTCTCTCTCTCTCTCTCTCTCTCTCTCTCTCTCTCTTCTCTCTCCTCTCTCTCCTCTCTCTCTCTCTCCTCTCTCTCTCTCTCTCTCTCTCTCTCTCCTCTCTCTCTCTCTCTCTCTCTCTCTCTCTCTCTCTCTCTCTCTCTCTCTCTCTCTCTCCTCTCTCTCTCTCTATCTCTCTCTCTCTCTCTCTCTCTCTCTCTCTCCTATCCTCTCTCTCTCTCTCTCTCTCTCTCTCTCTTCTCTCTCTCTCTCTCTCTCTCTCTCTCTTCTCTCTCTCCTCTCCTCCTCCACCCCGCCCAGGGGACCTGCGACGTTCGAAGTTCGAAGTCCGAAGGTCGAAGTTCGAAGTTCGAAGTTCGAAGTCCGAAGTTCAAAGTTCGAAGTTCGAAGTTCGAAGTTCGAAGTCCGAAGTTTGAAGTCCGAATTCGAAGCTCGAAGTCCGAAGTCCGAATTTCGAAGTCCGAAGTCCGAAGTTCGACGATGAGGGCGACCACGACCACGACGGTGACGACGGCGACGACGACGACGACGACGGCGACGAAGGCGGCGACGACGACGACGACGACCACGACCACGACGACGACGAAGGCGCCGCCACCTGGACCGCGAGCGGTCTCGACAGCGGACCGCGAGCGCTCGGGGAGTCGCCGCGTGAAGGCGCGCGGGGTGGAGGTCGTCTCCGCCATGCCGAGCAGGCCCCCGCCAGGCTCGCCCGAGGCAGAGGCGCAGGCACGATGGTCGTTGGGCAATTTTTGGGAAGGTCGGGTGGGGGACGGGAGATTTTTTGGAGTTCACTGGCGGAGCGAATCCCCGTGGACCCCTGGGCCCAGAGCGCGAGAGGGGGGGGCGGCGAGAAGCCTGGAGGGGGGGCGGCGAAAAGCCTGGATGCACTCCAAAGTTTTCAAGGGGGCCCCAGCCAGGCCAAAGGCGCTCCAGCCGCAGCGGCGCGACAGCCCACGCCGCCGCCCGCCAAGGCCGGCCAGCAGCGCCCGCCCTCGGTGGCGCCGCCTCCGCTTCAGGGACCGCCTCCGCCGCAGGCGCGGGCCCGCAGGCACTCCCGAGAGCGCGCCGCTGGCCCCGAGAGCCCGAGCGCGGGGCACGCGCCTTTCCTCCACCTGAGCGCGAAGCGCCCGCCGGCGGGGGCCAGGCCGAAAAGCCTGCCACCCCCCAAGGCGCTGCCAGCGGCGGCGACAAGCCAGCAGCCCCAGGAGCAGCAGGGGCTGGGCGACCAGGGACGCGGGCACGACGACGCCCTGGCCGACGCCTCCTTCGACGAGGTGTTCGCCGCGCAGGAGGCGCTCGAGCGAGCTCTGAAGCGCCGCGCCGCGGAGGCCCTCGGCGCCGACAAGGACACGTCGGAGGCGAAGCGCCGCGAGGTCGAGGAGGCAGCGGGGCTCATGGAGCGCGCGCAGAGGCTGCTGCAGCAGGCTGCCGAAGCTGTGCTGCCCAGCGCGGGCGCGGAGGAGCTGACCGAGGAAGCGGCGACCGAGCCTGCTCAGGAGGCCCAGGCGGATCATCAGGAGGAGGGCGGGGGATGAAGGAGAAGAAGGAGGGATGGGGGGGAAGGAGCGTGAGGGGAATCCGATTGGAAGGCGTCCGGCCGCCAAACCGCCTTGGCTGCCGCCGCCCGCCCCGACCTGCACGGGGTCGACGTAGCTGCTGAGGGCGCGGCGCCAAGCCAGCAGCAGGAGCGCCGCCAGCAGCACGCGAGTGCCTCCTCCAGCAGCTCCGCCAGCGGCTCGCCCCCAGCAGCTCCTCCAGCAGCTCCGCCAGCGGCGGAAGACAGCCCGCAGGGGGCTCCAGCAGCCGCAGGGGCGCGGGAGGCGCCGCAGCCCGAGGAACCGACGCGGCGCGAGTGCGGCAGGGAGCTGTTCGCCTTCTCGGAGTTCGTCCGCGGCGACCAGCCAGGAGCTCCAGGACCAGCCGAACTTCTGCTCCAGGCTTGCTACGCAGCGAACCAGAACAGGCTCGGCGAGTAGAACATACAAAGTTCTCGCAAACCAACAAAAAAGACAAACTGCAACAAAAAATGCCACACACAGGTTTCAACATGAAAATCGTTACTGTGAACGCCATGACAACAAAAAATGCGCTTTCAGGGATGGCATGCCGCTGGTGCTCTCCCAGTTGCTCCCGCACTTGACGGCGACAAGCCTGAACGAGGATGATGCCTACGGCTGGGCGCCCCTGCACATCCTCGCCCAGAACAAGAACAACGCGAACGACAAGTGCGAGATGATGCGGCTGCTGCTGGACGCCCGCGCTGACCCCGACGTCAGGGGCAGGCGCGGCGCGACCCCGCTCTTCAAGGCTGCGGGCACCGCGGCGACAAGCCAGGCGCGCGTCCTCCTGGAGTGCGGGGCGGACGTCAACTTGGCCAGCGAGGACGGGGCCACGCCGCTGGACGCCACCTGGGCCAACAGGGCGTGCAGGGACGTCATCAGCGAGAAGGGCGGCCAGAAGGGGCAGGGCGTCTCTGGCAAAGGAAGGTTCTATATCAGTTAACAGGGGGGCCACCGCCTCAGGGAGGGTCCCTGGATATCCCAGGGGCCCCAGGATCGAACTTCGAAGTTCGAAGTTCGAAGTTCGAGCTTCGGACTTCGAAGTTCGAAGTTCGAAGCTCGAAATTCGCAGTTCGAAGTTCGAAGTCTCAAGGCTGCGGTCGCGCCCCGACGACGACAACCGGAGGCCGCTGGGGGCGGCAGCGAAGGCGCGCTGGGACCGCTACAACAGCTGGACGGGCCCCAAGGGGAAGGACGCGGGCAAGGGCGACCGCGGCAAGGGCGGCGACGGCAAGGGGCCCAGGCGCTGAAGTGGCCGCGCGGCTGCTGAGCCCCCCGCGCCGCCGCTCACGGCGAAAAGCCTGGCGGCGAAAAGCCTGACGGCGGAAGCCTGCTCGCTCGGGCACGCCGCTTCTCGGAGCCCGACCCCCCTACGGACGGGACGGGTGGAGGGGGATGGGCCTGGGGGCCGGAGGACGGGGGACGGGGGGGGGGCAGAGGAATTGGGAGGGACTTGGGTGGGGGGGGACTTGGCACGGTCCGAGGGGAGGTTGGGCTCCGCCTGGTTAATTAAGAGGCGGCGAAGGCATTGCAAGCCTTCGCCTCGGCAGGCGCGCAGCGTCGCCTCGCCGCGGAGTGACCTGGCTGTCCGCCGGGCTGCGCGAGAGAGCGAGAACGTCGCCTTCCTCGCGCCCGTTCTGCTCGCCCCTGCTTCCTCTCTCCCTCCCCCCCCCCCTCCTCTCCCCCAGTCCCGCCTTCCTCTCTCCCCCTTCCTGCTTCCTCCCTTCCTTCCCCCGACGGCGACAAGCCAGGCCAGCTCCCCCCTCCCCCCCTCCGTCCTGTCCACCTCCCCCCCCCCTGGTTCCGCCCCTCTGTCATCCTCCATCCCGCGTCTGTTGGCGGGGGGCCTCCAAAAAACGACGTTCAGAGTTGAAAGCTCGAAGTTCGAACTTCGAACTCCGAACTTGCAAGTTCGAACTGCGAAGTTCGAACTTGGAAATTCTTCGGTTCGAGGCCGTCCTGGGGAGTGCGGGTTTCCAATTTCCAATTTTGGAGGCCCCCTCTGCTCTTCCCCGGCCTGCTGGCTTCTCGCCGCAAGGAGAATCGAGCCCGCGTCAGGAGGCGGGGGCGGCGAGGGGCGTCGAGGGGCCTCCGCCCTTGCTGGCTTCTCGCCCTTCGCCTGGGCCCGAAAAGTCGGCTCGAATGGAAAAAAAAGTGGTTCTCGGCTTCGAAGCAAGTTTTGCCTGGGACAAGGCTCAGCCCGCGGAGACTGCGGAAATTCCCCCCTCCTCCTCCTCCTCCTCCTCCTCCTCCTCCTCCTCCTGTTCGTCGTCGTGCTCGTCGTCGGAGTGGTCTTCTCCCGTCGGCGTCGCCGTCGTCGTGCTCGTGGTCGTGGTCGTCGTCTTCCGTCGTCGTCGTCGTCGTCCGTCGTCGTCTTCGTTGTCGTCCTCGTCGTGGTCGTCGTCGTCGTCGTCCATGCATGGAAGCAGTTGGACGGGGCGTCCGCTCTCCTTCCTCTCCCGCCCCCCAACGACAAATGCGCAATTCCTTCTCCACGCGGCCAGCCACTTCGGCTCGAGCGAGCAATCCGGGGCAGATGTCGGCGACAAGCCTGGTCATCCTGATGGCTTGGGCGCAGTGGACTTTGTGGGATTTCGGCACGAAGCAGATCTGCCACAACTCTATCACGGGAGAGCACAAGGTCGTCTACGGCAACGGAGCCGTCTTCGCGGACGGGCCCTTCACGGAGTTGATTCCGCACCCCGACGACCAGGACGTGGCCCTGCTCCTGGGGCCTGGTGACGACGAGACGCGCCCCTTGCACACTTTGGACGAGTGTGGCGCGCACACGCCCACGCCGCAACAACGAGGAGGTTTCCCAGACTGGAAAACAGCTCGACTTGATACGTCGGCTGGGGAGGAGGGAACCGCGTGGGTCTCAGAGTTGCAGTCCAATTGCGAGACGGTGGCGCTCGAGCTCCCTGGCCCCAAGCCCGTGCGGCTGCTGTTCACGAAGTACGAAGCGCCAGCGCGTGTCGGCGACGAGCCAGTGAGCCTCTGGGTGGATTTCGGGAGATTGGCCGACTATGTCCTCCGCCCTTTTCCGTCTGCGGCGGGCCGCGCTCGCAAAGACTTCGAGCACTTCGGGAATGCGCGCTCATGCTGTACCAAAGCTGGGCTCCACGAAGACCACTTCCGAGACTCAGCCCGCGCCTCGCGCAAGCGAGAGGCCCCCGAGACCGAGGAGGACGATGGCCCAAAGGCGGTCCCCGCGGAACTCGCCGCCGAGGCCCTCTCTGGAGATCACGATTGGCAGGTGAGCGTGAGGGGCGTGATGTTCTGGCTGTGGAACTCCATTTCCAGGGGGTACGTGACCAAGGCCCCCGACAAGAAGCTCCAAGGTGCGCAGGTTGAGCGGGCGAAGACCTTGCTTCACAGGATTCTCGTGTGGCCACTATATCACGGCGACCAGCCTGAGTCGATCGCCGCGCACTCCAGGACGGCTGGCTGCGTGACGGTCTTGCACGAAGGTGTCGTGGACAAGGGCGAGATGACGTCTTCCGAGGCCGAGTCGCGCCAGGGGAGTCGTGCCTGCGTGATGAGGACATCGGGCGGGCGTGCCTCCTGACTACCCTGGAGAGGCTTCAGAGAAGAGCTGGGTCGGACGGGGGGAGGGAAGGGAAGGGCGGGGAGGCCAGACAGAGAGAGGAGGGATGAGATGTGATGCGGAGTTTGGCTGGAGAGCCCCAGCGAGGATCAGCGACCACATGGTGGACGGCGACACGCGGCTCGTGGACTTGGTGGCCCACTTGGGGGAGCACGTGACAGCCCGAGGAGGACGTAGCAGACTCCGCGGGACAACGATGCTGGAGGTGGTCGATGCGTGGAGGGACGCCCTGTTAGACCACGTGGTGCTTCTGTGGGAGGTCTCAGGGACGGACCAGCGCTGGCGCGACCTGAACCTCCTCGGTCTCGGCGTGCGCAAAGGAGCTGCAGGGCGATCGCGGGAAGTTCTGGCATCGTACCTAGGTGCGTTGAGCGTGGCCAAGCGGAACGCCGTCGGCTCGGGCGTTCGGTCAGCGAGCCAACTCGTGGTTGGCATGGACGCCGCGCTGGGGCCAGCGGCGCCTGTGCAGTCCGCCCGTGAGCGCAAGCAGAAGAGGGCCAAGATGGACAAGGAGGAGAGGGCGGCGATCAGCCTGAGCAGCCTGCAAGTGTCTGCGAGAACAGCAGACAGACTTGTGCGAATGTTCGATGGCTCGAACTACTACTTCTCCAGCAGGAGCTCTCCACGGGGCCCACGACGAGGCGACGACGACGGAGCCGACGACGAGAACGACGGCGACGACGACGACGACGACCACGGCGACGACGACGACGACGACGGCGACGACGACGACCACGACGACGACGACCACGACGGCGACGACGAAGACGACGACAACGACGACCACGACGACGACGTCGACGGCGCCCATGACGACGACGACCGCGACGACGACGACGACCACGACGACGACACGACGACGACGACGACGACGTCCACGACGACGACGACCACGACGACGACGACGACCGCAGGATCGCAGCAGAGGGCGCAGTGCACTGGAGCGTGGCGCTCGATGGGACGCAAGTCAGCGGCGAGAAGGTCATGGTGGCCACCTTCTGCCTCCCTGAGCGCGACGTGCACTTCTGGGCGCCGCCGATGGCGCCCTCTCGGTGTTGTCCTCCTCCTCCTCCTCCTCCCCCTCCCCGTCGTCGTCCCCCTACCCCCTTGCCTCTTCCTCAGCCCCCCATCAGTCTGGGCCTATGACTCCCCCGCGGGTCGCGGGATCAGGGGGGAGACGTAGTCCTCGGCCACCATGCTTCCCCACCGATGCCTTCGGGGAGACCTGGCCCAAAAGCTTCCGACGGCGCCTTCTGGAAAGGACGCCACCGCCCCTCTTCCCCCCCCAGCCCTTGGTCCCTGGGTCTCAAGAACTGGTTGGCGGGGCGGTGCCAGGGGGGCTGACGCCCTGGAGTGCTCAGGGGGCTCGGGGTGCCCCGAGGGGCCCGTGTGACCTGGGACCAGGCCCCCTGTGGACGGGGGCCACGCTTCCCCTTGCCCGCGGAACAGCGTTCCGCGCTCGACGGAACACTGTTCCGGGGCGCGCGTCTGCGAGCAGGAACGGGCCAGTAAAACGTACCCAGGTTTCTGGGCGGCCAACAGGCCAGCAAAACGTACCCATGGGGCATTGTTCCGCTGGGCGGCGAACAATCCAGTAAAACGTCCCCACCTTGGCCCCCGCCGGCCGATCAGACAGTCACAGGGGTCGTCCCCGGCGTGGGCGGCCAACAGGCCAGTAAAACATACCCACCCTGGCGTGGGCGGCGAAGAGGCCAGTAAAACATACCCACCGTGTCTGGGCGGCCAACAGGCCAGGAAAACGTACCCAGAAAACCAGGTGTTCGGGACAGCGATCCGCGAGTCACGGAACACTGTTCCGGGAATCGCGGAACAGGTTCCGCGGCGCGGGAGGGGATACCGACGACGAGGACGCCGACGCCGGCGACGACGACGACGACGACGACGACGAGGACGCCGACGACGGCGGGGGCGGCCGCGGCGACGGCGACGGCGACGACGGCGGCGACGGCAGCGGCGACGGCGTCGTCGGCGGCGGCGGCGGCGACGGCGAGTGCTTGGGCGCGCCGGCTCCGCCCCCTCCCCAAGAGGGCCTCCTGGCAGAGAAGAGGAAGCAGAACGCGAAGCTGCTGCGAAAGCAGCCGCGCGTGGCGTCCAAGAAGTTCGTCCTCCGCGTGGACAGGTTCATCGAGATGTGCGCAGACATTGGCCTGGGGCAGTTTCAGAATCTGCCCGCCCTCGAGAAGCTGGGCCTGCTGACGGCAGCGCGGACAGGGCAGGCACTCCCAGGACCGCTGGCCGCACCCCTGCCGGACGACCTGCAGATCCCGTCGCTGGCGATATGTTCTGACCAGGAGCAAGTCCAGATCACCGGTGCCGAATTCAGATTCGCCCCACAGCCCCAAGGCCTCGCCTGCACGGGCGTTCGCCTCGCGGACGAGTTCCACCGCTGGCACAACGACCTGTCGATGGCGATAAGCCTGAGCGGCCTGGCCCCTGTCGTCCAGGCAGGCACTCTGGTCTTCAACATCGGGTACGGCCCGTGGCAGAGCCACGCGTTCTTCCACCAGTTGTGCGCGGAGGCAGGGCGCGTGGGGGCGGCCCTGAGCGCAGACTCGCAGCTGGCTCTCCGGTTCTGGCCGCGGCGGAAGGCAGACCTTGAGGACGACGGCGACCAGCCAGACCAGGCGGCAGCGAGGAAGGAATGGTTGCGTGGCCTGCCTCGTGAATTTGACATCATGGGGGCCAAGGTGGCGCCGTCCAAGTGGATGTCCTTCTGTGATGCTGGGTTTGAGTGGTCGAGGAAGCTGGCGAGCCGCTCTCTGACCATGGCGTCTCTCTGCATGCACAAGGGGTGGATCGTCGCTTCGGAGGACCTGTTCGCCAGCACGCGCCTCCTCAACGTCGGCGACGGCGTTAAGCCAGCACCCAAATCAAAGGCTGAGGCTGTGAAGTCCGCGAAGGGCAAGTTGGAGCATCTGAAGGCGAAGACGCAGAACACCGTGGTCACTGCTACCCGTCTCCTGTGCGACGACGACGTCGTCGCCGGTTTGCGGCTGGTCCCCCATGCCGCTGAGGCTCAGCATATCGCCTTCGGAAAACTGACGAAAGACTTTACCAGCACCGAGGGCACTCTGAAAGTGTGTCTGGGGTGGGCCCGCCAGGAGTGGTTAGACTTCTTGAAGAAGACACTCAAGTGCATGGACAACTCCGCGGGCCTCAAGCGTT